CAAACTAATTACAACTATCAAAGCAGGACTAAGACCTAAGGCAGCCATCAACTTCTACAAAACGTTTGTTAGACCCAAGATTGTTAACAAAAAATTCAAACCTTTCAAAACAGCATCTCAAGAAAAGCATTAGGAGTCACACCATCTACCCCAATCCCATTAATATACGTTTTAGTAAACGAACTACAACCCCCAGATAGAGAAAACTGGCTAACAGCCACAGTGGTTTAATTGGAGCGCACTTGGACTTCGCACAAATAAATGACACGGCAGTTTCGCCGCTGAAACTTTCTGACCTCCAATAGGCGACTGCGGCAAAGGCCACCTCACTGGCGTCAACAAACACATGGAGCTGCTATATTTTTGGCATGCCTTTCAGGAAATATAAACTTGGAATAGTGCATTTGACGACTGCAGTTAGTTGGTTACGCCATCTCTCCCATGCATCGTTTATGTCGCTCGGCAACGGCTTGTCCCAATGAATATTGTGTTTCCATACCGTGCGCATTATCACCTTAGCACCCACGACAAAATTACATTAAAATCCAAAGGATCAGAGATCGACATTACAACGCTGAGGAGTTCTCTTTTGGTGGGAAATCCAATTAATTCCATTTATAACCGCCAAATCAACATTATTAAACTTCAACTAAAATCCGAAACAATCAGTTGAAGATTGCCAAAATAATCCGAGCACCTTTCCACCAGCGCTCCTTTTTTCTTTGAAATGGCAAGCGTTATTTCTTTACCACCAAGCTTACTAATTACTTTTTGTGAATTTGAAGTAAAATTTCGAAGCTCGAACCCAGCATTTAAGTGTTTAGCTCGTACTATCTTCGAAACAGTGATGGCTTCTTCTACAAAGCCGAAGCTGTCAACCAAAATGTACTTTGCAGCACGACTTACGTTCTAGCGCGTTAACTGTTTTTATGTAGACTTCTGGTCTCTAATTACTATCAAACGTTTCTCCATAGAAATCGCAAAGCACACCTATCCTCTGGCTCCACTAATATTTGGTGAAACATATCTCTTATGTCTCTGCTTACCGCAGTCGCACCTTATCGGAAATGAAAGAGTATAGATGGCAACGATTTGTAGTCCTGCTGTCCCTTCAAAAGATGTGCGCTCAACGAGACACCTTCGACTTCAGCAGCAGCATCAAAAATCAAACGTAGTTTACCAGGCTTATTAGTGTTAGACACAGCAAAGTGTGGTAGGTACCACGTTCTCGGTGAACTTAAGTCTGCTTCTGTTGCCAATAACTTCCGGGCATAACACTTGGCTATATTACGTATAGTACTCTATGATGCGTTTGTATTCGGCAGCAAACTCAACATATCGAAGCATCTTGTTTTCTATACTCTTCAGCCTTCTCAACGACATGCAATAACTATTAGGAAGCTTAACATTTTCGTGCTTCCAATGAAGGCCTACCTGAAATCTTCCATTAATGCGGCGTGAAGTTTTCTCCAGAATTGTTTTCGCAAGAACGTCAACGTTGCTTTCAATTGGGGGAGATGACCTGACTCCGAAACTTTGGGTATCGAAATAGTCCGCCACTAACTTATGTAAAGAATTGTTCATCCTGTTATTCATTAACGAACATAACTGCGAAGACTCCTGTTCGTTAATTGTGGGACCGAAAACCAACCATCCTAGCGCGGTATTAGCTGCGAACGGGCCGTTTCTGTTCTTCTTCACTGTAAACGATGGTAAACCGAGATGGGCATGGTCCAGGCCAATCAACAACCTAGGCCAGATATGCGGGTATGTTTGTACTGGCAGCTTTCGTAAATATGTATCACCACAACTCAACTCAGCTCTACTTAAACTATGCGATGGCAACTGTAAATTCGATTCTCCATATACATAAATTCCTCAATTTGTGGCGTTTTTGCATACTGGCACCGCTAATAAACATGTCTATTACCACGGCTGGTTCTTGCGCAGCTCGACCTACAAACTATTGCAACCTGAAACTCTGTTCACGACCACGTAAATCCAAATACTGTAGAAGAGCATTGTCGACCATTGTAATCGACGAGCCTTCATCCAAGAAAGCATACGTTTCAACGCGCTTATGGTTTGCATATAACATGACTGGCAAAATTCTAAATAACAGCTTTTTATTGTTAAAGTCGGAACTACAGCTAAGAACTGATTCTGCCCTCTGCCTTTCCTCTTGTGATGACTGTTGAGTAACTGTGGGAATCGGTGCTAGTTCATGGAGCAGTTTATGGTGCATTCTTCATCCTTCGGTAGAAAATGGCTTCTGACGTTGGCAAGTGCGAGTTCCATGGCCAGCATTGAGACATGAGAAACATAGGCGAAGATTCTTCGTCTCGGTCCATCTTTTCGGCACTGTAAAATAAATAAATTTATTGCACTCCGCTGTCTCATGAGCTCCACGGCATATGGGGCAGCTCTAGCGATCGCGTATCAATTCGACATCATTAACTGAGGATATAACATTGGCTAATCTCGTGAGCCATTGACTAAACTGTACCATTGTAGCATACGGCTGTATGCAATTTCATGACGAGATCATCGAGTAGCGTAGGGTTGGCGAAATGTTGATCTCCTCCGTTAGCTGCCTGTAAGAAAATGCATATATTATTGACCTTTGTAGCAAATGGCACTAATTTCAAGACACCACTCTCTGTAATGTAATGCAATCTCGGCAACGAATCAACTGTTCAGGGCGACCAAATTCAAACTTCAGTTGTTCGATAATATTATTGACGTTGCTTGGGTGTATAAGCAAAGACTTGACAGTTTCGCGAGCTTCACCTTTCAAACACTTGTGTAGCCGTTGATTGTTTTCAAAGTTACTATAGCCATAGTCTGAGGTGGATTTTGTGAAACCAGTGTAAAACATCGGCCGATCTTCAGCTTTCCCACATTAATGGGAGTATTGGAATTCACTGATAGATTGTCACTCTGATGAATGTCAGAATTTGTGTACATGTTCTGTGTGGTCGTTGCAAAAGATATTGGCAATTGGCGGCTATCTGTTAGAGAGGCTAACGGCTGTGAGTTTATACCGGTATTTGGCGGCAATTGTAAATCTGGGAGCGGTACAACTTGTTGCATTTGAGGTAATTGAGGAGCTGACATCCCGGCGATATAAGCACTTCCAGAAGCATTGACCGTCTCAATGTGCGATTCGTCTTCCTTTAGCTTTACTTCATCATGGCAATGCGCTTTTGCATGACTTGCATTATGGCTTCCTGACGTGGAATACGCGTTGATGCTCCTGGCGCGGATGGCGTGAAAGAGTTACGGTTAACTGTTCCAGTAGAGGTAAGAGCAATTGAAGGGGCACTGGCTGTGACGGTATCATTTTGTGAAGAAGATTTCTTAACGGCGACATTCGACGTAGCGGGAGTCGATGCTGGATTATTAGCGTCCATTGTGTCACTATTTAATCGAGGGCTATGGCGAGGTGATTTGCCCATGAAAATTGTAAACGGCAAATGGCAATCAAGTTGTCGTAGGCAATGGTAAATCGGCAATTAATATTCCAGTACCAAAACGAATTAGTACTGCGAAATAAAGATGTTACCGATCCAGTGGAGCGAGTTTAACGAGAACCAAATAAATTGTATTCTAAAAGGTTCCGTTTATTTTTAAAAAAAATTTGCATCTTAAATATAGTACATTATCAACTTATAACATAGACTTACCACAGTACATCTTCCACTTCCTTCGCTGATCGGCAACTAAACGTAAAGTTTTGTGTAAACATCTGTTTTTATACACTTGTAGGCAAATTGTATTTACCGTACAAATTGGGCAGCCAGGAAAGTGAAGAGATGTAACGCGATTTCTTAACAAATGACCAAACCAAAATACACTAACAAAGGACGAGTTAAATATGTATGTTCATGAAATAGCAACTGCATTTCAGTGTGCTTACGAATTAGCGAATAACAGTTCGATCATATGTATGTATCTTATTTACAATGTAGGGAGCTAAGATGTCTAGCAAGCGATTATAAATAATAGCTAAACTTAATATGTACTGAATATGTACAGAATTGAATATGAATATATTGTAACCAAAACACATACAACACAGAGATACTCTATATACAGTCAGCAAAACTCGTATTAATACACGCCAATACTTTGATTAAAAATGTAAGTTTTGCACTAAAGTTTAAATTAAAGCACGAATTCGGAAACAAAATGAGTTTAATTCACGAAGTTTATTAAATAAGTATAATCAGCCAACGCAAAAGTCGTATTCATTGTAACATGTACAAACATGAATTTATTTATACATGCACATACACAAGACACTTAGAGTAAGCGAAAACTATGCTTAGGAAAGCTCAAAGGAAATTAAGTAGCACGGTACCGTCGATATTAAATTAAATAAATAAATTCAATTAAAAATTGAATAATCATTAGAGATTGTATATATATATTTATATTACTATTTAATAGTAATAATAAATTTCTGTAGCATAAAATAGAGTGTTGTTATTTTAGGATACCCTTGGCAAGGCTGAGTTAACCCCAGCCAAGTGGAAATTTCCGTTACAATTGTTCTAACAAACAGTATAGTTAGCTGTATACTTGTGAACATGAACTCAAGTGTAAAATAAGTAGCGTAAGCAGTAAGAAATCACTTCCGCTGCACTGCTTTTCTCGTCCTTGTCAAATTACATTTGCGAGTTGGTAAAGTAAATAAGATTTATTCACATTGAAATGGAAGACGGTTCACAACAAAATAAATAAGTTTTATTAATTTATTTATTAAATAATAAATATTTCAACCTAATTATAGAAAATGTGCCTAAACGACAAAAAAAAAAGCTGAATGAAAACGCTATCTTAAAAATTAAAAGAGCCATTTTTTCTCGCAAACTTCTTGGCATATGCCTTTTTATACTTTTTTCTTCATCTTCAATGAATTCCAGGCCTAAAATATGCCTAGCCATTTTGCTTTTTATTTTTTCTCAAACTAACAACACAAAATCAAACAGCAGATTTTTTTGTTACGTTCGCTGGTAACAAAATTTAAAGGGTGACTGTATGTGAAAAATTTAATTTGCATTGTTGTACGTTTTCTAAAAGTTATCAGAGAAACTCTCAAACCAGCTGAGATATAAGCAAGCTACCGTCGAAGTGGATTCGGTAACACCTTCTGGTGTGGTGTAGGCACCATCCACACAGCAAGACATACATACATGCTCCTGCATGAGAAGCCTAATGTTAAGATGTTCAAGCAATATCCATTGGGATGCTACCGCAAGTATTCTCATCACAGACAGCTGTTTGAGCCACCCATGGAAGAGAAACACTCGATATACTTTAGTGAAATCAAAACTTCAAGGACACGAATTATAGCTATAACATTTTTACAACGGGGATCTATAGAATTATAAGTATAGAATGTTTTTTATTTTAGCCTTCTTAAAGAGACCAACACTCTTAGAGCGCATGTGTAACAGTGTCACTTGTACAATCGTATTCTTTGTATTAGTATAGGTTGCGAATGGCTGAAAACATATAAAATTTGAAAATTAGGAAGTTCATTCTACTCTAGCTCGGAAAAATAATAATAATCTGATAAAAAAATAGTTATTTTCTACCTTCAGTGCTTGGAATAGCATAAATATCAACTTCATATACAACTTCTTTATATTGAGCCCCTCGCGGTGAATCAGGAGGTGTATTGTAGGTCCATCTAAAAAATATTTAAATCATAATATGTATATTAAAGAAATGTTGCTCTTACCGCTCCCCACTATCACATTCCTCGCTCTCACTGTTTTCGCTGCGACCAGTAGGTTGGGAGTTTTCCCCTTGTACAGCTTCCTCTTCGGCACGAACGCAGTCATGTATACCGACAAGCAGTGAATAATCCATTATATGCAGCTTTGTTAGGAGCTTTATTTTCAGCAAATAAACATATTTCAAATACAAATGTAAAAATAGACTAAGTATTTGATTTTGCTTACATCAACGTCACTTGATAATATGTCGAGCAACTTATTTTTGGCTTCTTCTCCAATCTCAATTTTGACTTTCTGCTTTATGAAATCATTGTCTTTAAAAGTTGGCAAATGCTTGTCTAATTCTTTTTCGGAAGCCTCACGATCAACCGTACTGCCTTTCAAATCGAATTTCCTGTGATGACATTATTTAATATAACGGGATAAAAAAATATCACGTAACTTACTTGTGAATTGTCCGATGCGAACTAAATACATTACGCATCACCACAAAATAATATTGTCCACTCTCAACAGTTATCCTATACATACCCAAGTATTGTGGTAATAACGTTTTGCCATGCTTTTCGACGACATACTATATATTACAATTAGAAAAAAATATATCTCAGTGGTGAGTGATATATAAAATAATATTTTACTTATTTAATAAAATAACATTAGTACGAAAAAGATTACAAAATATATACATCATTTTGCATACAAAATCGAGGATACGCAAAATATAAATCCACGAATATGCAAAAAGGTTAAAACTTGAGATAAGCTAACCATGGATAGAGCTTATGCTAAACCATGTTCAGACATTTTTTACAAAACAAAATAAATAAAAATTAAATGCAATACCGTGTATGAAATCTTCAATAAAATATTGTCTACGGTACCCCGTAACTTTTAACTCAGATCATTAGGCCACCTACACAAAGTTTACAAACTAATGCCAAAACCTGTCACTGCTAATTGTTTTAAGAAAAGCAAGCGTTGTTGGTCTTCAGAACAAAAATATTTCCAATCAAGAATATAATAACTGCCTCGAATGTAAAAACACTACAAAAGCAGATAAAAAGATATAAAGCCAAACAGAAAAAATAAAAATTCGTCTATACTTTACAAATCGTGTTTGAATATTTGTGTTTAAGAATTTTATACAGTCTGATATCCAATTTTTTATGATTATTTACCACATGAGAAATGCACCTAATCCTACTATTTTTATACTAATTTTATTAATTTTTTTTTTATAAATTTTACAATTAAATACCGATTTACTTTAATTTAGGAAAAAGTATTTTGTTCTAAGTTCAGTAAAATTGTTTTCAACTACTCTTTTATTAATATTATTTGTAGGTATACATATTGCAAACCGCGGCAGCCGAGTAGTTAGCATTGCGTAGTGCCGTTCGGAAGCTCGGGTTCAAATCCCTGTGCGATAAGCATTCAAAAGCTATAGAAAATTTATTTAAATAAAACAAAAATTAAGTTGAATTATCTAACTGCGGTCGCCCCTCGACAGGAAATTTCCACCCCTACGAGTGTATTTCGGACATGAAGTAAGGACTCCTCATAAAAAAAAACATCAGCCGTTCGGAGGCGGCTTAGTATAAATTGTAGGTCCCTCCATTTTTTGGAAAAACATCAAGACGCAAAACCATAAATTAGCCGAAAATCGCTTCAGCGCTTACAAAGCGCCAATTATATATATGTACAGCCATGGTCACGCAAATAGCACAAATTGTATCACACACGAAAATGCAACTCTTATGCAGAGAAAATGATATCTATTATCTATTTTACATTGTATTTCGTGTATTCCTCAGCAACTGTATTTATTGTGTCAATATATCTGAGCGGGCTGTTAGTTTTTGGTGATCACAGTTATCTATGGCATATATTATTATTGCAAGTATTTTTTTATTAATTTTTATTGGAAGTTTAATATATTTTAAGTTAAATTCTATCAAAATATATGCAGATTGAATATATGTATGATTGTATGGGTCCCGGTTAATACTGTACACTGAAAATAGAAGCATTATTGTTCCTGTAAAATGGTACAAAATGCCCTTACACTGGTTTACGAGAATGAAAAGAAAGACAGAGCCACGATACGAAAGAGCAAGCTAGATTCTTTTAAATCATCTAGACAAATAATGCAGGAAATAATCGAATAACTTGATTTTAGTATATCAAGAAGCACGCCTCACCCGCAAAAAAACCACACCTGTCACAACGGCATACCAAAGAACAGTTGGAGTTTGCTAAGACGCATGAGAACCGGTAGCTCAGTTTTTGGAGAAGCGTAATGTGACCGATGCAACTAAAATATATGTTAAGAATCGGCCATAGGGAAAAAGCACAGTTCATGGTCAAAGAGCTCAAGATTTGAATTCTGGGTACACCAAAAAGACCAGACGGAAACATCGTGATTTCACTTTTATGCAGGATAATGATCATAAGCATACCTCGAAGGTGACACAAGATTGGATTAAGAAGAAAAGTATTCGTGTTTTAGATTATTATTTAGATTTAGAGGCCAGCGCAGAGCCCAGATCTATGTCCAATTGAAAATTTATGTATCCATCATATTAAAACAAAAATTTTTGACCAGGGCATTTAATTAGGAATTTCTGTTTATACAATACATATTGCAAACCTGTCATAAGTCTAATAAAATAACATTTCCTTTAAATGAAGTTGCAGCGGCTTTTCAAAAAAGTGTCTACCAACTACAATACTACAACAGCGAATATGACTAACTTTGTTTAAAAGGAAAATAGATTTTAATTTATTATTTAACTTATTATAAATACAAAGCTTGAAAAAGAAAAATTTTCATATTTTACTTATAAACTCAATGTAAAATTAATATATATATATATAGAATAATACGATGATAATAATAATAGAAATAAAACACATAAACAGAGATGAATAGAAAGTGTTATAAATATAATAAAAAAATAACTTAGCATTAATACAAAACTTAAAAAAAGAACACATTGCATATTTTTCTTATAAATTCAATTTCAAATTAATATATATACATAAGTATATATAGAAAAGTGAATGAGTAGAAAATGTAATACAATACATTTAAAAAGGATATAAAACTATATTGCTAAGGAGGGTCGAAAAAAATAATATAAAACGTAAAAATATTCAAGTTGTCTTTATATGATTTTTTCTTAAATTAGCCGAATCGAATGTCCACTAGCGTTGACGAAGGAAAGTGGCTCAAAGAAATATTTTGCACTTCATGACGCTTAAGGTAATGGCCATATTTGCTATTTTTTTTTTATTGCTACCCAGCAGCGAACAGGTTAAGTGGAATCTGCATCTTTGGTGCCTGAATGCATCTCGGTAAACTAACACGGCGATGTCATAGCAAATGAAGGGCCTCTCTCTTTCCTTATCAAATTACTAATTAAGCCATGTTTTCAAGTACCTACTTTTAAAAGCATGCTAAAGAATATCAATTCGTCTTTGGGCATTTTATTATATTTAAATTTTAGAACAATGGATTTTCGAGTACCATCGTTTCATATTTCTTGAATGATTCCTTTTATTTTTCATTCAGAATGAAGAAACAATAATACTAGCTAAAAAGTTATTGGTTATTCTCTTACTAAAATTTAGACTACCACCAAGTGACTGCGCCGAAATACTTATGTCGCGCTTCTACGTCTTTCTTTTGATAGAATTTTATTGTAGTTTGCTTTTGCTTTTTGAAAATTTATCTGCATTAGCTCCTCGCTTCCAAAAGTAAGGCATTATTACTTTTGGTAGAGGATACTAATAAAAATACATTTCTTTAATATTAGAAATATATAATTCAATTTGAATTGAGAGCAATGAGAAAAGACTGTAATAGAAGCAAAGATAATATGATATGAAACTTATTCACTCATCTATTATCTTTGGGCCTCGATTAGGTTTTGTTGCCAACTCAAACTACAAGATCGAGACCCAACAGACAGCTGTGAGTTAAAAAAGTTAGTGCGTTTTTTTTTAGCAGAAGTTTGCTTTAATTATACCTAGTTATAAGAAAAGTACGCAAATTAGCTTTGTTGGATTAAATTCTTTCTAAGAATATTAAATTGAGAGTTCAATGCACAATTTAAAAGGCTTTTTTTCTAAAAGAATTTAATGAAACAGAAAAATACAACTTAGATAGCTAACATTAAAATTCCTTGTGTGGCTTAACTTTTTTATTGAAAAAAATTCTATTTAGATATGTGAAGATAATAGTGCAATAAAATATATATATTATGTTAAGGATTAGCTAGTCGGAAAAAACTTTCATTACTTTCATTAAAATTGGGTTTTAAGAGTCTACAAGGTAAATTTAATGATTAATTATAAGGACAGAAATTATACTCAAAGTTTTTATTGAATTATACCCAACTATAACTTCACCGTAGTGGCAAGGTTTAAAAATGTTATAAAAAAGCACATTTTTCAGCGCTCTCACAAGATAAAGAGTTTCGTATCATATTATCTTTCATAAAAGAGTTACACTAAGTAGCGTATGTTGTTGTTCATAATGGTTCTTCCTACAAAAATTTTGTTTTCAAATATTTATGTTAATGTAAGATCGAGTATAAACTTTTATTTGGATTGAATTCGTTAGTGCACTACGACATAATATTTTCTTGCACAACACAATCATAAAACAAGAGAAAATAATAAGTATTAGTAATAATTGAAGTAAAAATATTAATGAACTTAATGTACATGCTAAGCTACAAACAAGGTATTCTAGAAAAAACAGGTGAGTTTATAACCACTATTCTTGATCAGCTTTTGGCGAAAAGTAACTTAAAAGAATTTTTTTGTAATTGCCTTTGTGTAAAACGTTCTTCAAAGACAATGGAAGAGCCTTCCAGAGACTAATCGCATTTTAAAACCATGTACATAAAAAGTTAAACTTCGGTGAAATAAGATTTAGCGAACGTATACCCTTAGAGAACTTCAGTTCATTGTACAATACATATATTCCCGGTTCTTACCTGAGAATATTTTAAAAATAAAAATGCAGTTCGGCGCGCTTAACAAATTTTGCAAATCACAGCCAAATAAATAATAACGCATAGATGACGAGGAAGAGTTAATGGCGATGTTCAATCTATGCAGTGAATGATGGTCTAATTAGCGAAAACAATTTCAAAGAATGTAATGTAATGGACAATTATACCGTGAATTATTTCCTTCTCAGTGCTCACCGGCACATGAGATGAATTTACTCTAAGACACCATAAAATAAAAAATAGCATACTCGCAACTTCATTAACATAATCATCACATGAAGGTTCGGAGTTTATGATGAAGTCCAGGTTTTGTCAACTAATTTAACGCAATTGGTGCCAATAAATAAAGTAGGTAACTCGGAGGCCACAATTGTATCCTAACCACAAGAAGAAGATTTTTTCGTTTCAAATTTTCATTTTCATTAAGTTGTTGGCATACTAGCTAAATCGAATAAATTTTACCAAAGATGCATAACTGTAACTTATCGTTGATTTGCGCCACGTTGCGCACCGTTCTGGGTGATTTTAATGCCAGGGTGGGGAAAAAAGGTATCTTTCGGCCGAATAGCAGGCTTTCGAAAAATTCAGCCCTCACAACGAAACATCCCCGATTGGGTTGAGGCTGATCGACTTCAACGAAAGCACGAAATTTGGCTTTCTGTAGTACTAGATTCCAGCACGAAAAAATACATCAAGCTACTTGGCTGTCCCTTGATCGAAAACACAAAACCAGATCGATCATGTTGTGATAGACGCCTCTGTGTATCGAAAAGCTGCAATCACGACAGACTGCCGAACGGTTTCCTCCTCGACTTGCACTCTTACTCTTTAAGAGCACTCACCAGCAACTCGGTATACGGGAACTGACGGGCGGCATTTCAAGCTCCCTACGTATAGCTGCAAACGAAAATTTTGTTTTTCGTAAAGGTCGCAAACACAGCTGGTACGATGAGGACTTCCGTGTCGCAGTGGAGAGAAAACAGACAGACAGTTGTTTAATTTAAAGTCAAACGAGCAGAAAAAAATATGTGATCAGAAATAAACGACATTTGGTTAAACAAAAGTACAGAGGTTGAACTTGGAACCATGAAAATTTCAAGAAGACTAGTACGACGCGACTAAGTCTAAAGAAAATTCGGATACAGCTTCAGCATTAAGTTAGTTACTATTGAAGATTTTAAATTAAAAAAGAGAAAATAGGAATTTTAAAAACTTAAAAAAAAAACCTTAACATATTAACATAAGATATTTGAAAAAAAAGCAAATCGCATAAGAAAATAGGTGTCCAAAAAAGAATATGGGATAAAAAGCCAGATAGACATATGTAAAATATTAAAACAATAATATCAAAAAATAAGGTACGAGGAAAGTTGAGTTGGAAAAAATACCCTCAGCGGCGAACACCAGCAACAACAACACAAATAAGGAACTTATACGGAGACAGGAACCGCAACAACGCATCAAAATCAGCGATGCTAAGTACGAGCTATGGTTGTGTTAGTAAGAAACATAAACATACTTCCTCAAACAGTTACGGGCATGCCCAGCGAAAACGCTAACACACGTAAGCAGAATCACCAGCTGTCATCCAGAGCAAAAAAAAATATTTTCCATTATGTTAGAAGAAGAATGTGATATATTATTGTTAAAAATATGTTCACTTAATATATCGTACGCGTTTCCACTCATTTCTAGGTTGCAGGTTGCAATATTTCCAGTACTCAGCAGATGGCGTTAACAGGCTAGTATTTTGTGCTACCACAATCTACTCGGTACCGTGTGAATTTCCTTATGCGGCCGATATTTAAATCTAATAGCAATGTAAATTTTCTTATTTAAAATAAAATGCGGTAATGAAATTTTATTTCTGTATAAGTTTCGTCCTACAAATTTTATTCGAAAAAACTCTTCACTTCCCATATTTAAGAGTATAATGCGAAAAAATTAAGACAATGTCATCTTATTTTCTTTTCTGTAATGTATTCCTTTGCCCCAGATAGTGTATGTTTAAAACAAAAAAATAAGTGTATGCATGTTATGTTAGGAAAACGCCAAACTAGAATATCAATAAATCGGGAGGTGTATAAGAGCGAAGTTCTTTAACAAATACTAGGATTCATTTAATTTATAAATATTGCTAAAATTTTGTTCATATTGTGGTGAAAATGCAAAATTTGAATGACAGATGAAATGTATATTCCGATAACTAAAGTATGTTCTACATTTTCTGTACATCGTAAGAGCAATCCAGAAACTTAAAGAACTGCTCAAATTGTGACGTATATAAGAGAGCGGAAACGATATCTGTATTGAGTACAGCGGAACAAACTGTGTGAAATAATATAAGTCGTTCGTAGTAAAGCAAGTTCTGATTTTAGAGTAATAAACAAACATGGAGTGGGGCTTCTATTTAACAATCCAGTGATTGATGACTTGATATCATGGCCATGAAATAAAACAATTATTCCTTAATATTCTCTCATGTTTATTAAAAACACTTTCACGTTTAGCATTTTCACCTAAAATAAAATATAAATTTCGTATTTTTCATCTACAACTTTTAAGAACACATCCGGCTACTTTTCTTCTTTATGTGTGCCTGAGCAAAAAGTTACATCACTATTATTATTGTGATTTGAAGACAAATGCAAGCGGTCAAAAAGATTTTAAGAAGCAATATTTTCAACCAAAAATTATTAAAAGGCAAGTTAAATTTTTATGAAACAACAATTATTCATATTCTTTTGCTAACTTTTCTGTTTCTTTCTTATATTTTTAGAGATATATTTCAATGGGAAGGACGCGGATCTTTTGAAACAAATTTGCGGAAATATTGGATATTGATATCTTGGATAAGTTTATAAAGCTGTTTACATCCAAAATTATAAAAGTAGTATTTTATAGCTTTAAATCTGTGTAAATATTGTTTTGATTAAATTGCCTCTAATATTATATAGGTTATTTATAACTAACTTGTAAAACGCAACAATAATAAACAATTTTTTTCTTAATGAATGTATGAAATATATATAAATTATAATATTTAAATAAACATTTTGAAATTAATATTTTTTTTTAATACAAATACAATTTAAAAATCAAGCGGTTTTTTTGCGTTAGGACCACAGCATATATATAGGAACTACATATTGTTTTATTTATGCCATAGCAGAATCGTATATTTACATGGCGTTCGTTTCCGTATATATCATGTTATATATTAATAATTAAGCGAGTGAAACATATAAGCGTAATAGCAATACTAAATGCGAAAGAAAGAGATGTCTGCTCACATGTATAGAAAAAACATCCGTGAGTTTTTGTCACCCGGTCTGTACAAACTCAGGGGAAGTTTTTGAATTTCTCACGCATAGTTGTTGCAGGACTACGAATGGTTTAACGGGTTATATATCGGATCGCGTGCTTGCTGTGTGTATATACATAAACATACATATACTCGTATATACATATATTTTTCGAAAAAAAAACAGGAATTATTCGTGAAGTATACTCGTGTCTACACCAAAGTATTTTCCAGAAAATTCCCGTTTGCCACTCCCTCAAATTAGCTGTTACTCAATGAATATATGTATATATATAAGTTCTGCCGTTTTTTTTCTCTTAAACAGTTTGCATATAGTTATCCAAAAAATTTAGTCGGGGAAAATACCAACTCGATAGATAAAACAACATACATACTTTATATGACATGTATCTGCATACATATGTATATGCAAAACCTCCATCCTGTTACAGCGCAGCACAAACATTTGTTTTCCACTAAAAAGCTCTCACAAACATAGAAACACATTGCACACAGACGCGCTAAGGCAAAATAAATCAAAAGGGGGCCGAGTCTAATACAAACAGTGGGTCGCGACCAAACATATTGCACTTTGGTACAAAAGTGAATAATTTTTAAACGAAAATTATTAGTAAATCCAATTATTTCAAATAAATTTATTTATTTGGGAATAAAAATACACTTTCAAAAAATTTTTTTTTCTAGATAACTTAAATTTCTGCACACACACCCACATATTTGCACTCAAACGCGCTGATGTAAAATATATCTACTTACAATAGGCGGAATCCAATATATTTTTCTACAACAATAAATACAAAGTCAAATGCAGTCTCCAGTGGGTATGTCTCAAGGTAATAGTGTCACACTACGGTGGTTGCGAAGACTGGCCGACATTTGAAGACATGTTTACGGCAGTTTTATAAATCACCCCCAGTTAACACCCGCCCGAAATTCTTTCATCTACGTCATAGGGCAAAAGGTCTAATAGGCCTTACCAGTGAAAGTTTTCCGCTTGCTTGGGAAGCATTAAAATCTTACTATGAGAACCCAAGAATCCTGCTGGATAACCAGCTCAAAACCCTCTGGTGTGTATTCTTTCCAGTTAGCAGGAGCTTTGTACTCTTTGAGATTAAATAAAACTCAAGGTTTTAGCAATTTACAATTCACTTTTAATTACTTCAAATAACTTTAAAAAATAATAGAATTAAATTAAAGCGGGCGAACTAGCGGCGAGCGGTAGAGAAAAGATCCGAACGAACAAACTAAAATGGACTGTAATGCATGTACAAAAACGAACGAATGCCAAGCACCAAAGCAAAAGGTAGAATAAGAAACGTCAAATCACGTTCGATGTTAACCCTTTCATGGTGTCACGTTATTAACCCTTGCGTTACTAATACTTTTAAGAATGCATAATACTAATAGTTAAATTAATAAGTTATAATACATTTCTGAATGCAACATACCGCCGCCCTTGAACTATGTATGTTAATATGTTCAATTACATGATTAAATTCAAATTCATATTTCATGAATTACGAACTAAATGTTAATTCCTCGGAAACTAGATCCTTCTTTGTGGGCAGTAGGCCTTGACCCTCAGGATCCGAGATCGACTTAAGCGGTTCGCCGACCATAAAGTGGCCCGGAGTTAATATTTCGAGATCGACAGCGTTTCTTGAATTTTGACATAACGGGCGAGGGTTTATACAGACTCCCACTTCCGTCAGTAATGTGCTGAACAGTAAAGTTTCGTCTAGTACGCGTTTCAGGTGTTACTTTATTCGCTTGATTCCAATTTCCTAGTCGCCACCCATGTGAGGTGCGCTCGGAGGGTTAAATTGCCAAATTATGTCAGAATCAGCGAAGAAGCCTGCCATCTGCCATACATTGCTCGTATTTGGTCCGGAGTTCCTTCTCCGCGCCGAGGAAATTCGCCCCATTGTCGGAGAACATCTCCTCGCAATACCCTATACGGTTAATAAACCTTTTGAATGCGTTAAGGAAGGCAGATGCCGACAGATCGCCAACGAATTCTAGATGCACAGCACCAGCGCACATGCAAACGAAAGAACAAATGTAGCCCTTAATGGATTTTTGCTCCTCTTCCATTCGAGTCAAGAAATGGCTGTAAGCGCAATAGGCTACTGCGAAGCGGGATCGGCCTTTTTGCGCTGCAAAGAAAAATTTCATTAGCATAAAAGAAATGTTGAGTATACTTAATTAAGCGGCGTTCAGCTTCAGCTATTTCTGTAGAGCTAACAGGACCACATCGTTTCTCAGCGTTATGCAGCGTAATGGAGCGAGCGTTGAATACGAAGCGTAAAACGTAGGCCATGACACGTTTTAGTTTCGAATACGATGAGTATTTGGTCATTACAGACCAATGATTGTCCGAATGAGTAAGATGCGCCCGTACTTTCTTCCGTAGACCAAAATCAGTCACATGCGTCTTTGACGAACCGGACTTCCAATAAGCGTTTGAACTACGCAGGAAACTTGGACCGTTCCACCACTGCTCTTGATGCAGGAGTTTAAGTGGTGTTACGCCTCTAGAAGCGCAATCCGCTGGATTATTTTCAGATCGTACGCGATTCCAGCGATTCGGCAGGAAGAACTTCGTGGAGCTCGGAAACACGATTCGCGACAAACGTTTCCCATCGGCTAGGGTGGGCTTGCAACCATGCCAGCGTAATTGTTGAGTCTGTCCAAGCGAAAATAGGGAACCGCAGATTGCCAAAACTATGAAGCACACTTCTGGCTAGCTTGGCAGCGAGATGAGCGGCGCACAATTCCAGGCGAGGTAGCGATGTGGGCTTTATGGGTGCCACTTTAGTCTTTGACGAAATTATTGACACGACTATCTGCCCATCATCGTGAATAGTGCGCGCGTACATCACCGCAGCGTAAGCGCGCTCCGAGGCGTCAGCGAAAAGATGCAATTCAGTGAACGACCAAGTCGTTCCAGTACCGAGCCAGCGGCTCACCTTTAAATCGGCCATTTGATGAAGTTGCGAACGATGTTCTAGCCATTGTGTAGCAATAGTGGTTGGTATCGGTTCATCCCAACCAACTTGAACGCGCCAGGTGTCCTGGAACCACATTTTGGAGCAAATCGTTACAGGAGCAAGCAAGCCCAAGGGATCAAAATGAGTACTAGCATCTGACAAAAATGCTCTCTTAGTTAAGATTGCGGGTGGTTTCTTTAAATTGATTGCGAATGTAAAATAGTCGCCATCTACGTTCCACATGAGCCCGAGTGCGTGAACGTCTTTACTATCAGCAATATAATGCGATATACTCGTAGATGAATTAGAAATGCTCTTATTTAACTCTGTGCAATTAGATGCCCATTTTCGTAGTTCGAAGCCGCCTTCTTGAAGAATTTCAGACACGTTCCGTTGAAGCGTTAGGAGCTCCGATTTGCAGGATGCACCAGTAAGCAAATCGTCCATGTAGAAGTCCTTGAGGATTACCTCAACAGATTTTTTGCAGCTATTAGATGAGCGCTTAGCTGTTTCCTGTAATGATTTAACAGCTAGATGAGACGCGGCAGCCACTCCATAGGTTACCCGTAGCATGCGATAATCTGTAATAGGGGAAGATCGCCAAGGACGAAGGACGCCAAACGATTTTCTGTAGATCGACGTGTTTTGATGAGACGCAAACCTGCCGATACATTTTTGCGACGTCTGCCGTAACTGCGTAACGGTGCGTTCTAAAACGAATCAATATAGTATATAAATCTTGTTGTAGCTGAGGGCCCACGAACAATGTGTCGTTAAGCGAATTTCCATTAGTAGTTTTCGCAGAGGCGTTAAAGACTACCCTCAACTTAGTAGTAACGCTGGATGGATTCCTTTATTACTGGGTGATGCGGCATATAGTATGCCATACTAGTCGTCTCAGAAACGGCTTCCATATGCCCCATTTCAATGAGTTCTCTCATAAACTCATTATATATACTGTAAACGTAAATCGTTGTTACTTTCGAGTCCTCGCTCGATACGTAACAGGTTACGGACTGCAAGATCTCGTGACTCCCGAGAGACTCGTTTGGTTTAAGTGCTAACTCTACCACGAAACGACCATCAGGCATTCTTTTATGAGTGGAAATAAAATGATCTTCGCAAAAGTTTTCTTCGTGAGTAAGGTAATGTTTTTCAGGCAACTCTTCTAACGCCCACAATATGGCTAGGGCTTGATCCAAATGAATATCGAAATGCAGCGACAACAAGTTGTTAGTAAGCGTAACAGGATTGACAACGTTACCGAAAAAAGTCCAGACAAAAACTGTCTTCTGCGTCATAGGTGTGCCGGGCGGGCCCTTTCGGAATTCCATACATATGAGTTGGTCCATTACGTCCATACCTATGAGCATGTCTATGCAGCCCGGCTCAGCGAAATACGGATCAGCTAAGACTAAACTCAGAAAGTGTGGCCAATTTGAAACGAGAAATCTTTGAGTTGGCAAATCATTGGTGATTATCGGAAGAATCAACGCAGTAATCGAGTAGCAATCCTCTGAACAATGTAGCGAAAGCGTGAGTAGTGTCTCGCCTTTACAGCGACCACGTTGCGAAGAACCAATTCCTGTTACGAAATCAGAAGACGACGTGCGAGTTAAGCCCAAACTTTGGACGCACGGCTTCGTTACAAACGAAGCGTGAGATCCCGTGGCGAACAATAGACGAGCGGTTGACCAGCGCAATCCCGAATCCTTACTAATGCGGTAGATAATAGAACTAGCTTTCGCGTTGTGAGCAGTGGACTAGCTCTATTGCTTGGACAAGATGAACGATGAGTAGCAGTGCGGTTCTCGTACGAAGCGATTGGAGACGAAGTGGTTAGAGACGAAGCGGTTGGAAACGAAGCGGTGTCAACAAATGCGGTACACAGAGCGGTACTTTTGCTCTCGAAGACATGAGCAGATGCGGCAGCGGGAGAAACTGCGGTGTTATGTAACAGCGTGTGGTGTCGCTGGATAGATATACGACAAGTGGATGAACTATTACAGCGGTCTTTGAAATGTCCTGGACTCAAACAATTCCAACAAGCTTTCGATTCTTTAATAAATTTCGATTCTGCGGAGAAATCTAAATTTTGAAATTTGTCACAATAATAAATCTTATGAGCAGCCTTACAGTAGGAGCAACGATTATGCTCCGGCATCACGTGACCAGAGATAGTTCCCACTGTTTACGAGTTCCAAAAGCGAGCTTGTCGACAATTTCGACAAAGCATCGTAGAAAGCTGGTTGGTAAATCCCTTTTAGGTAAACGAATTGCTGCGGATACAGACGTTGACGATGTCACAAGTTGCGTTGTCGGTTCCACCCTATACCTGCAAACTACTCTTGTTCTTATTTATGAAATGGTTTCTTTAAAAGCGATTAATTATATTCGCTAGTTTAGTTATTTTTTGCAAATTGCAATTACACTGCACTTATACGAACGATTCGAGCACTATCCGGCTCGAAGGACTAGCAATGGTGTGTATTCTTTCCAGTTAGCAGGAGCTTGGTACTCTTTGAGATTAAATAAAACTCGCGGTTTTAGCATTTTACAATTCACTTTTAATTACTTCAAATAACTTTACAAAATAATAGAATTAAATTTAAGCGGGCGAACTAGCGGCGAGCGGTAGGATAAATACCCGGACGAACAAACTAAAATGGACTGTAATGTATGTACAAAAACGAACGAATGCCAATCACCAAAGTGAAAGGTAGAATAAGAAACGTCAAATCACGTTCGTTGTTAACCCTTTCGTGGTGTCACGTTATTAACCCTTGCGTTACTAATACTTTTAAGAATGCATAATGCCAATAGTTAAAATAATAAGTTATAATACATTTCTGAATCCAACACCCTCCTTAGCCTCAGACTACAATAAATAACTGTGCCCAATCTCTCATCACAAAATATATCCACCAAGGATTGGGATCCCATTGATATTTATATTTGCTCTTCTTAACTCCCGAGCGAAACACTCACGCTTTGGGAACAACCTCTAGTTCTGGTCCGAAACGTATGCAATCCTGACCAGTAGATACGAGGTAGTAGAACGAACATACCACCCAGGTTAAACCAAACCCTACTTTAATAAATTCAATTTCCCCTGCGTTTACTGCCAAAGACGTCATCACTCACTACTCCAGTTTCCAAAGAGAAGAAGAAGAACAACGCACCAAGCAAACAGCAATGAAACCATACTCTATCCCACAGATAAATTCCCGAAATATATAGACCAAAATCCGAGCAAAAAACCTTTGTCACATCTCGGATTCAAAAAACACTCAATCTACCCTTGGAGGAATCCCATTACGAAATCTCAGGAATGGGATGAACTTTCTTCCAGAACTCAACCAAAGTCTACGAATTAACTCTAGTTTCATCAGACTTATCACCCCAGATAAAAGCTAAGGCGATAATATTACCCAAACTCACCCGCCTACTACCCATAACCCATGGGTCAACCATTGACATCAACGAAATCAACCGATTAGCGTTAGCCGACGCAAAACGTCTCACCACAGCTCGAATTGACATAGTATTCGGTAGCGGCTTAACACCCCAAATACTCAAGCAAGGAGTGCAAAACCTCCAGAAAGGTATCCCGTTGGCAGACAATATTTGGATGGATAATCAGCGAACCCAGCAAATCAAACTCACTCAGGAGTCGCCGAAACAATGGTAAGTACACAGTCAATTAACCACTAAGAACGGAATTTCCCAGAGACTCAGCTCTAACTCTCCAAACTAGCAGGACATCAACAATAAATCAGCAACGAGCGGACGCTAGAGCGAAAACCAAAGCTGCAGCAAAAATATCAGAAGGTCTTAGAAGAATACTTGACCTTGGACCATATGGAATCTACCTCACTTCCCGAAGTAATCAACAACGGGAAGTACTTATCCTTCTGTCTATTCCATGACGCTGTCATCAAGCCCGACAGTAAATCCACAAAGGTCCGAGTCGTATTTAACGCTTCCAGATTATCACAATCAGAGAACTCATTAAATGACGTACTGTACACAGACCCAACGCTCCGAAAGACTTGATGCTTAGCTTATAATCCTCAATTGGCGACTCTATGAGTACGTTTTTACCGGTGGCATGGAGAAAATGTACCGTCAAATATTTGTTAACCAGGAAGATCAAGACTTCCAGCGAATACTCTTTTGCAGAACCCCAAGCTCTCCAATAGAAGACTTCAAGCTAAAAATAGTTACGTTTGGCGTTGGCTGCGGCCCATATTTAGCGATTCGAACCCTACATCAATTAGCCGAAGATTGAAAAACCGAATACCCTCTCGCAAACAATATCCTACTGAAAGAAATTTATGTAGATGACATACATTCAGGCAGTAATGAAATTCAGTTAACTATCAACTCACTCGCCCTAGTTAACGAAGCGTTTAACTTAGCAGGATTGCCTCTTAAGAAACTCTTCGACATTCAAATACCTCGATTGTTGCAGTACACTCCCGACAAATTAATTCAACTCCATGGATTCTCAGATGTCTCAGAAAAGGCATTATGCGCTTGTTTATACATGAAGATACAACATGGCGAAAGCTCCTTCACCGCACTTGCTTCAAAACCAAAGGTAGAACTTCTTCAAACGATAAGTCTCTCCCGGTTAGAGCTCAGTGGAGCAGTTTTCTCGCAAAGTTGGTAAAACAGATACAAACGGAATTGGGTTTGACGCCTCATGAACTTGTTCTACTTGTGGACAGACTTAACCATCGTCTTGGCATGGTTAAAAAAAAACCACCACACTCTTGGAAAACACACGTAGCAAACAGGATAACCCAAATCTTGCAAATGATAAGTAACGCTACGTGGCGTCATGAATGCAGCAGTGACAACTCAGCTGACCTAGGAACATGGCACACCATCTTGTAGAAAAGTCCTGAATGGCTCGCCGAACCCGCCAATGAATGGCCTAGCACTCGTCCCCAATACCCATCTCTTCCGGAACAAAAGCACACCTTGCAATCTACAGATATCTTAGAGAGATTTTCCTCATTTCTATTGTTATCGATGACGAAGACCTGTTTCTTGTTCCCAAATGGCAGAAACTCAAAGTGCTTCACCATCAATTCAGAACGTGAAGGAAGAACGAATATCAAAAAGAATTACACAAGAGGTACAAATGGAAAAGGAAGGAGATCAAGTTGTCACCATGGATGATCTCCCCTCGAACGAATCGCGATAAGGACGGATAACCCATTTACAGAACGGAACGATAACCCGAAATACAGCGAAATTGTGTGTGCTGCCCGCAGTGTGAACCTCGCCCCCTTTGACTCAATTCCACTATACAATTTAACATTTAACTGCCTGGCAACCTCACATGCTACCGGTGAAGTAGAGTATCATACTCTGCTTCACCGGTCGAAGTTAAGGAGGGTAAGCGGTGCAGTGGATGCAGCCAATTCCACGCACGCTTTATCCAGCCGGTATGCCCAGCAGCGGAAGAAGTAGCAGCAATTGGTGAAGAGCGTCCAGAGTTTGATTGGCAAGATGGAGAGGAAACCTGGCGGTGGCGCCTTGTTGAGGACATGGATCTCATTATGTTTTCGGAGTAGTCCGCCTCAGATGGCAGCGCCGAAATGTGATGCCCAACGTTGCTAACCTTCAGCACCCGCAACACTTTGCACTAACTAACTAACCTGCTAAAGCAGCCATCAGCGCCACAATGAATCAATCGTTTTTCAACCCCCAATGCATCGACAGCGCGAGTTCCGCATCGCTCATCGTCTTTGAATGTAAAAATTATATTTTTCCATTTTTTTCAATTTAAATAATTCTACATCTTGGTAGATAGTCTTGTAACATATTAAACGGTCCCACGGCATTAACCCAATTACTTCATTAACCTTTGTAAATCGAACTTTAACTCTAAATATTTAATCTATTTTCATACATATGTATACCAACCATGTCAAAAAATTTGATTTTCAAAGATAAATCTTGCATATATACCGTTTTTTATAAAAAAAATTAAGTTCCTTATTATCTTAGAAAACGCCAATTTTCAATATGCACATTTTTTAAGTGCCCATAACAATAAATTTTTCGTTTTAAGCGAATTGCATACAAACATACTTCTACATACTCGTACATACTTGTTGAGAGCTTTTGTGGTAGCTGAAGTGCCGTTAGTAACCTCATTTCGGGTGTGATAATATTTAATTCAAATAATTTTTTGTTAAACTTCAAACATCTTCTAAAATAGTACTATCAAATAAAATTAAATAAACTTAAAGTAAATAAAACTAAAAGAAGTCGTTAAATAATATTTTATAAAATTAACTCGTAGCGTAAATGCTTTGTTGTGCAAGTGATGCTCAGGCGACATAAGAAGGTTTCCTGTCGCGGTCCTGAAAGCGGTGTTTTGGCAGGCCAGTAACTTCTTAAACTGCATCTCGTTTGTTCCCGGTGCCAATCAAAGTTTTTCCAGATGCTGCTCATTTGTGAAGAGGACTCTCGAATGTAACTTTAGGTTGCTTATAGTCGGAATTTTGACGCCATCAACTTTCGCATCGAGTTTGAGCCTATACTCCTTCGTACATCTGGCTGAGAGGGTAGCCGAGGATTTTGTTGGTTGCAGTGAAGAAGTGGGAAAGGTCGTCGATATAGCCGTTTGCTTTCGACCATAAGTCATCAAGATTCTGGCCAGACGCAAATAACGAGCAATCTTCGGCATATCAGATCACAAAAACCCGGTGGATGAGGGAGTTTCGAGACATAAAAATTAAATAGCGGTGGAGAGAGGACACCACTCTATGGAACCCCTTGTTTCATCTTTCTGAGTTTCGATGTTTGACCTCGAATGTCCACTTAGGTAGCTCACGTTCTATCGGTAATGAGGATTCCTCAATGTCCGATAGTAGTACTGAATGCTTTCAAAAGTTTTTGAGCAACAAGCACTCAAGAGTTGTTAGGGTAGTTAAAGACAAAGAAAATATGCTTCCATTGGTCATAGTTGTCTTAGCAAGAGCATGCATATTCTGTCTGGTCCGATGGATTTCGAAGCTTTCGGCATTCCCGATGACGGGCAAGGCAGTGCGTCAAACGGCTCGATAGACAATTCGAGATCCTCGAGCAAACCTAAGAGAAGAATAATGATTTGAATCGAGCAGCGTTTCGACACGATTGCAG